CGTTTGGTAACCTACTTCAAAATATCTCATAAACTGGATTTATTATAAATGATAAAAATAAATTGTTGATTAAAATTTAACTGGAAAATATGTGAATCGGGGTTTCCTTTTCCTCTGGGGATTGCAACAATTATGCGCGGTTTGTTTGAAAATTAAACATAAAAACAACATATATTATATAAAGAAAACGTGATTCGCCCACACGTGAATACTCACACCCATACTACATACACACCCGATATAATGATAACACCCCTGTTAATAATGACTTTGGCATTATGTACCCCTTTTGATTTATATTATTTCCAAACTAATATATGCGTATTTTGCATCCTTTCCGGGGGACTGATTTGATCCCCTGAAGGGGGTGTTTTGATCCTGAGTGGAGTGATTTTCATTCCCATGATAATTTCACTCCCGAGAGTGTCAGTTCTAGGATCAGGTCAATATCCTGGGACAGAATACATCTACAGTGAAATTTAAGAGGGGTGATTTAATCATACCACACCCGTCAAAAGAAAGTGCACACTTGAAAATTGACACTTAACTCTGTTCATTACTGTGTTCAATGACATTGCCCCCCCCCCCCCCCCCCCCCCCCCCCACACACACACACACACACACACACGGAGATTCGATAGGGAGATACATTTGGTCAAGTAACATTACATCTTTTTATCTAGTCTGCCCGTGTGCCATAAAACTTTTATATAAGTTTTATTCCAGCAACCGCTTAACGATATATTCTACACCCGCAAGCGACAGTTGTGGTGTGCGACAATTGCAGAATACATTGGGATACCTATAATATATTAAGTTACCTTAGATGCAGAAACATATCGGATTCGTCACTTAGTACGTTTGCAATGGACTTTGCTCGCATGCGAGTTGATAATACAAGAACATATTCCAAAGCATAAACGGTTTTACCTTCACTACAAATGTAACAAAAGTGCAGACCTGATTCAAATTATTGCCACTGGCCCTATCTCGATCTCCACAGAACGAAGCATCTCGCCATTAAAACAAAGAGTCAGTTTGTAGGCCGTTTGTCAAGTGACGCGTACGAGGAACTCGAGGTACATAATCTGATGAGATTCTTCTTTGTTTCATTAACAAAAAGAATACGTAACCAGAGTCATTTTACCTTTTATCTTGCTGTTGTTTTAGAAATTGAAACTACTGTAATGTTTGGTGCCACTGTGTTACATCAAGTACTAGTCTTACATATGAACGCAGCTGCGGCATAGCCAATATGCAAGCATTGAATACATTATAACGATATCATATGATATTAATTGCATTGAACCAATAGCAAATCTGCTAAAATATAAATTCTTACAAATTAGAAAAATAATTATGTTTTGAAAATAGTCCTATTTCGACCGCTATGCCATCCTAAACATGTGACATCCTAGAATATGTTATTTGGAATTATTTTGTTTCGTGTTGATTTCTAAGCTACATTGTAGGTTTAATATGCTGTTTACTTTTCATTGTACAATTTCGCGACGGTCTCTCTTTTTAAGTTGGATAGAGCATCTAATCGCAGATCGGAAGATCGAAAGATCGATCTCCAAGCCGCGTCACGCCAAAATATGTTTAAAACATGGTATTTAATGTTACCCTGCATTGCGCTCGGCATTTGGGGGATAAAACAACGACTGGTCGACTCGGAGTCAGCATAATGTGTCTACAAACACTACAAAACCTGTATTAGTCTGGACGAGTACAAGCATCCACACACACACGCGCGCGTACGTGCATGCACGTCGTTATATGAGTCAACTAGCGGGAAACATTGCTGAGAGGGCATTAAACAAGAAACAACGGCAACTATATAAATGAAAGAATCTTGAACGCGACATTAAACCTCATTTCACCCCACCTTATTTCAAAGATGTAAAATCTAGGAAAGTAAACCTCAAGTCAACACTGACAGTATTTCTTGAGTAATGCATGTCACTATATAAGTGCAGTAACCTTGATAGCGACATTATACCCTATTTCACCTCAATTGAAAATGTCTTAAGTTAGCGATATCAAATAAAAATATTAACTATACTGGCGCTTAATCAGCACTCATAGAATACTTCTACGTGGTTTTATTCTAAAAATATATAATTAAGTTTAAAACTTTTAAAAATTAAATATAAACATATCGCATTCTGGACATGTTATCTTTGAAAAAAAAAGTTTTTTCTTTTATCTTCACAAATTTATATCATTTCGAACATGGTAGGGGTCATGCGGTTCCAATTTATTTCTTACCCCAGTATTCATTGAACCAATTTATTTTTACACAAAATTACCCAGCCACAGATTATTTTTTACAAACTGTGGCAGGAATGTGTGATGACTAAATAGACATTATCACATTTAACAGCAATTCTTTCAATTTTAAATTAAAAAAACCCCACCCTGTATACTTTCTTTTGCCCCTCGGTTCAGTATTCCTTTCATGCCATTCCATGTTATGTATTAATATTATACTCTAAATAGAACAAATACTTTCCCTTGCTGCGTTGTTTTAAGTTGCATTGTACCGCTACAAATATTTTTTATTTCGAGTTAAGTTAACTAGATTACACCATATCGCTCTAAAATTGTTTTCTGTTTCATATATTATTTGAATTATATTTGAATTTCATTGTTCTGCTACAACGTCATTGTCAAGTTACCGCATTACTCGTCCATTGTATTGCTTTAAAACTGTATTTCTCTTTTCTTTTGTATTTCAAAATTCAATTAAATTATATTGTGTTCCGTTTAAGACCATTATTGCAATCTTTTTCATTTACATCGGTATACCGCTTGAGAAAACCTTCCTTATCGTGTATTCATTTATCAAATTACATTGTTCCACTTGCGAACAATTTCCCTTGATGCGTTATTTCATTTAAATTCATTGTACCACTTTTATAATGAAATTCATTTAAATATTCTGAAACATTAAACGGGAAGAAACGCGACGAGCAAGCTGATCTATTCATCCGCTTATGCAAAACTCGTGTAGCCAACCACAACAGAATTAACACACACCACCCCGTCCGCAACTTCCGCGTGCAAAGATCGCGCGTCGCGCTACATATAATAAACTATTATCTTCTCAACGAGGGGAAATTATGTGTATTCATCGTCAGCATACTTGTGACAGTCTGGTCGAAGAGCTAGGAGGAGTTAACTCGTTGTGTTAAGTGTCGCTTATAATGCTTTAGTTTTAAGCCCGGTACTGTATAACGTTCACTATCGTTTACGCAATAGAGTCATAGAGTTTAAAGGTATTGAAATGCATTCAAGTTGTGGTTCACCGCAACCTAAAATATCCAGGTTTTGTTGTTGAAGTCTCTGAATGACGCGATGACAGTCGATTCCACGCCAATGAGCTCTTGGTCACGCGTCTCGAAGACACAAGTACAGCTTTACAATTAAATGTAGCATGCTTCCTAGTCTCAAATGAAGGGGCCGTCCCCAAACTGTTTTAGTATCGAATTTTAGATATTATCGTGAATCGTTTATAATGAGTTTTGCTATCATTAAGACATATTGTTGTTGTATTATAAAAATAATCGTTAAAGTTGCCGTGTTTTGCTAATGCCGTTGTACAAATGAGAAAAACGTTGTAATGGTTGTGACACAATCCCTGCTCTTAAAACTCATCCTTCAACAGAGAAGGGGTGACATTTTAAAAGATCACTTTTATGGGCTATCTTTGACTTCGCGTAAGGATAGAGATTTCGAGAGGGTCTTTATAAGAGACAATGGATCAAATTGGGCCAAAAATCGACTTTTTAAAACTTTTTCTCTAAAATTTACATCTGAAAGATGTAATCGCATTTGTGACACATCAAGTAGATTGTCTGTAAGAGTCGCTGCACTGGGTGGCCTGTCAGTATGTCAATGTCAGGCTTTGTCAAACCCATAGAATAAATTAGAAAATATAAATTTTGAACCCCCAAAAATGTTAAACGCACAGTTTTTACATACTGTTCAGGGATCACAAAAATGTTAAAAAAAATATTCTTTGACCAGTTCTGGACATTACTTTCCTACAATTTCTAAAAATATGATGATTAAAAATATTAATGTGAATTTGGAGACACTATTGTATCGCTCTGTAAATCTTATTTATGAATTCAACATGTAAATACTTGACTTTGACGTTAACAAAGCTGAGAGTCGGACAGTCAGAACGTTCGAAGGTTGATGGTGAAAGAATCTATTCTTAAAATTACTTTTATAAAACCAGAAAAGAGGAAACCAACACCAGTTCATTTCATTAAAAAATAATCATAAAATTCGTTATAAATCGCTTTGAAAGTACGCCCTTCATGGCATTGCTAAGATAAAACGAAAATTAAACCGAAAAGAAGAGTAATTATAAGAATATAAGTAATAAATACATAAACTGCCGGTGGAAAGAAAGTATACACTTGAAAACTGGATTTGATCCCAAATGACAAACGTTATCTAATAAGCTCACAACAGTCGTTGAAACACTGCACACCTTAGGTCCAAAGCACAACTATGATACCAGTATCAAATACATCACCATCGAATAACCATTTCTTGTTTGTTTCAATTTTAGCTACCACCAAACACGGTGTATACACTGTACTTTCTTTTGCCCGACAGTGTATATTACTCAATTTTGTCATTTTTGTGTCCTCCTCATTTGTATTTTGTTAAAAATGCACAAAACACAATTGTCAATGTTTTGTCAGTTTCAAGATTCAGAAGCCGTCATCGGTAATTTTTAAATGATTCTTATTCACTCACCACATCGTCAAGCAATCAACAATTGTTATAAATATATTCGTACTATAATTTTTTTACGAATATAAATCAACATTCAACAATGACAAAGGCATACTTTTCAAGACTTACCGTTTAGTATATATGGCAGTAAAATATGAATTACGAAACTTAATTTTATCGACACAAAAAGTAAAATAATATCATTTTTAAACTTCAGCAAAGTGTCAAAAAATATAGCTCACCCATGTCTTCAAAGTCTTGTAAATTATCTGCAGAAACTACCAAGCGAAACATCCTAGAGCTATATACCCCACCGCTTCGATCAACGAACAGGTGCACAAATATATTAAGCGGAGGACGTGTTATTAAAGATATTTTGCGCATCGCTGTTAACATCGAACATCAGAGAGCAGAGTTATCGATCTTTGCACGACCTCTTCAACGTCTGAAGTCAATAAAGAACATGTCCATTTTAGAAACTGTATCCCCTCAAAGGTTGAAAGCGTCTTAAGCTCATTTTAGTTTCAGTCTGGGCTGGGTGAAGTGACATTGACGACTGATCCTGCGCAGCTGAGCAACAGCACTACGGGGAGATGAGGCTCGGGTTGCAGCAGGACCAGCTCAATCTCGAAGACGCCATCTTGGATAAAAACTTCGTGAAAGTTAGAAGTGGTCAAAGTTGGGCTGTCGTTTCTGCACGAATAATGATGACAAATACTTTAAGGATTACACTTTTAATCACACAATTGAACACGGGTAAAATACATATTCCGAAAAAAAACATCCAGAAAAATCACAAGATTGACATTATAAGGCAAGATCAAATTAAATTATTAGTTAACTATTTAGAATGAAAAATCGTATTTAATGGCATTGAGCACATAATTATAAACTACCGGGAATGTTTGATAAGATTAAATTTCGCAATTTATATTATACTGCGATATTTACTGCAAGGTAAGTCTTTAAATACATGCGTTTATCATTTTTACATGTTTTATCGTACATACATAACAATTGTTGATTGCTTGACGATGTAGTTAACGAATAATGTTCATTTTATTACTGATGAGGGGTTTTGCACCTTGAAACTTACAAAACATTATCAGTTGTGTTTTGTGTATTTTTAACAAAATACAGATGAGGAGGAAACAACAATTACAAAATTAAGTAATATAAACTTCCGGCTAAAAGTAAGTATGCACCATGTTTGGTGGTGGCTAAAAATGAAACAAACAAGAAATGTTTATTCGATGGTGATGTATTTGATACGGGTATCATGGTTGTGTTTTGGACCTAAGGTTTGTAGTGTTTCAGCGACTGTTTTGAGGCTGTGGACAATCAGATAACGCTTGTCATTTGTGGGTCAAATCCAGTTTTATGTGTATACTATATTTTGCCCGGTATTTCATTTACAATGAAAAATCGTCTTTTGTGGCATTTAATACATAAACAAACATATACTCAAGAATAGAGAATAATCGGATATTATTGAGAAGGGATGTTAAATTACTGCGAAGTTCTGGCAGCCAACAGATTATATTTGTGTACAACAATAATGAGTAAATATGCCACAGAAAGCAAACAAACATTTAACTGCATTTTATTTATGTCTTTTCGAAATATTTAGCAAGGACGCAAACATTCAAAACATAATAACTTTGAATAAACTATGGTTGGTTGACGGTTGGGATCAGCGTCGGATTATGAGGGAAGATATCTGCCAAATGTTATCTCGTTTAGAACCACCATGGATCGATTAGTTCATGATGTGCAATCTTACATGACCTATTGATAGAGATATTGGAAACAAAGCAGTTTTCTGAACCAAAGATAAGGTGGAGTGAAATGAGGTTTAACGTCAAAATTATTGCACTTTCAGCGACTTGTGTGTGAGTGAGTGAGTGTGTGTGTGTGAGAGAGTGTGTGTGTGTGTGTGAGAGAGAGAGAGAGAGAGAGTGTGTGTGTGTGTGTGTGTGTGTGTGTGTGTGTGTGTGTGTGTGTGTGTGTGTGTGTGTGTGTGAAAGTTCGGTTCTTCGCCCAACCATTCATACATTAACAACGTACCAATTTATCCATATATCCATCCCATCAGAAATCCACCTATCTATCCAAACTATCTACCCACCAATTCATCCATCTGTCCATTCCACCACCAATTCATCCCTCTATCCATCCCACCCGCCTATTCACCCATCTATGTATCCAACCCACTAATTCACCCAGTTATCCATCACATACACCAATTCATCCCTCTTTCCATCCCACCCCAATCCACTAATCTATTCATCCCACCGACCAATCCACCCATGTATACATCCCACCCACCAATCCACCCATCTATCAACCCCACCCACCAATCTATCCACCCCACCCACCAACTCATCCATCTATCCATCCCAACCACCAATCCACCCATCTATCCATCCCACCCACCAATCCACCCATCTATCAACCCCACCCACCAATCTATCCACCCCACCCACCAACTCATCCATCTATCCATCCCACCCACCAATCCAGCCATCTATCCATCCCACCCACCAATTCACCCATCTATCAACCCCACCCACCAATCTATCCACCCCACCCACCAACTCATCCATCTATCCATCCCACCCACCAATCCACCCATCTATCAACCCCACCCACCAATCTATCCACCCCACCCACCAACTCATCAATCTATCCACCCCACCCACCAATTCATCACTCTATCCATCCCACCCCCAAACCACTAATCTACCTACCCCACCCACCAATTAATCTATCTATCCATCCACCCCCAATCCACCCATCTATCAAACCCACCCTTAATACACCCATCTAGCCATCCCAACCCCAAATCCACCCATATATCCATCCAACAAACTAATCCACCCATCTGTCCATCCAAAACACCAATTCACCCATATGTCCATCCCACCCATCAATCCACCCATCTATCCACCCCTCCATCAATCAACCCATCTATCCATCCCACCAACCTGTCCACCCATCTATCCACCCCTCCATCAATCCACCCATCTATCCATCCCACCAACCAGTTCACCCATCTATCCATCCCACCCATCAATTCACGCTTCTATCCATCCCACCCTGCAGTTCACCCATCTATCCACCCCACCCACCAGTCCACCCATCTACCCATCCCACCCACCAATCCACCCATCTATCCATCCACCCACCAATCTATCCATCCCACCCACCAATTTATCCATCTATCCATCCCACCACCAATCCTTCCATCTATCCACCCAACCCACCAATTCATCCATCTATCCACCCAACCCACCAATTCATCCATCTATCCATCCCACAACCAATTCATCCATCTATCCACCCAACCCACCAATTCATCCATCTATCCACCCCACAACCAATTCATCCATCTATCCACCCAACCCACCAATTCATCCATCTATCCATCCCACAACCAATTCATCCATCTATCCACCCAACCCACCAATTCATCCATCTATCCATCCCACAACCAATTCATCCATCTATCCACCCAACCCACCAATTCATCCATCTATCCATCCCACAACCAATTCATCCATCTATCCACCCAACCCACCAATTCATCCATCTATCCATCCCACAACCAATTCATCCATCTATCCACCCAACCCACCAATTCATCCATCTATCCATCCCACAACCAATTCATCCATCTATCCACCCACCAATCCACCCCACCCACCAATTCATCCATCTATCCATCCCACCCAGCAGTTCATCCATCTATCCATCCCACTCACCAATTCATCCATCTATCCATCCCACAACCAATTCATCCATCTATCCATCCCACTCACCAATTCATCCATCTATCCACCCAACCCACCAATTCATCCATCTATCCATCCCAATACCAATTCATCCATCTATCCACCCAACCCACCAATTCATCCATCTATCCATCCCACAACCAATTCATCCATCTATCCACCCAACCCACCAATTCATCCATCTATCCATCCCACAACCAATTCATCCATCTATCCACCCAACCCACCAATTCATCCATCTATCCATCCCACAACCAATTCATCCATCTATCCACCCACCAATCCACCCCACCCACCAATTCATCCATCTATCCATCCCACCCAGCAGTTCATCCATCTATCCATCCCACTCACCAATTCATCCATCTATCCATCCCACTCACCAATTCATCCATCTATCCTTCCTACTAACCACCAATTCATCAGTACTGGCACCGAATCATCCATCCCACCCAACCACCAGTTAACCATATATCGCTATGTACGAAACGGCTTTAACCTATTGGTACCTCTTACTAACAGGCCGATTAAAGCCATCATTTAGACCTCTTTAAACTCCATCGTTAAGCTTTAATGTCATGTATCACGTTGACTCATTACAGTCAGAACATTAAATCCGCACAACCTATTCATCGTTATGTGTGTTAACTAATATCGGAACTTGTCACGATAATCAAAACATCGCACACCTCTTCCAATCAAATCTTCAAAAAGCTTGCATCCTTGAAACATAATCAGTCACTTCATTGGCCTGCCACTGGACAAGAGATTTGCGGCGCACGATGCCCAACGAGAGATTATATTGAATGCATGCCACTCCAAGTCATAACCGGCTCCCAAACCTCTCCAGTTCGGCTCAAGTCCGGCAGATGGCGCAGCTGAGCTGTCTAATCCACGCAGAACACCACTAATTGCCACGTTAATCTCGTGAAGAGTCGGCCGCTAGGGGGCGCTGACGTCGACGGTAAGTCAGCAGACGATATCAGTGTAGCGTTCGCGCGAATACATAATAGCTTGATGCCCTCAGTTCCATCAACGAACTTTAGCCAGCAATAATTCGAAACGATAAAGGCTTTCAGGATTTCGTTCCAGTGTGACGGTGTTGTTTTTCAGTGTATCGGGTGATGTATCGATTGAAAGCATTGTCTGCATTGTATGTTTTCAGTTATTGATTCTGAAAGTAGTCTGACAAAAAGAAAATCCGTAAATTTGTGGGAGGTTATATTTCTATTCGTTATTGAGTTGATGGAGATTACAATGAAAGGTCTGAATTTCGCAGCGACGGACGCCCGCACTGCGAGAGAAAGCAGCTGTCAGGTGACGTCTGGGGTTGGGTGATTGGATTTAAATTTGCTGGTCTATGACCTTGAACTACTGGTATTTAAGTTAATCTAAAGACTCTTGTCGTGCGACGTGGATCATGTTCATATTCCCACCGACATGTGAAGAAGGGTTAGAATAGGTCTTCAGCAACTCATGCGTGCCGTAAAAGGCGACTATGCATTGTCGTAAGAGACAAGTAACGTTAAACGGAAACGGGTGGTCAGGCTCGTTGACTTGGTTGATGCATGTCATCGTATCCCAACTGCGTGGATCGATGCTCATGATGTCAATCACTGAATTGTCTGGTCCAGACTCGATTATATTACAGACCGCTGTCAATCAGCTGTAACAATATTGCTTAGTGCGGCGTAAAACAACAAACGAACAAATTATATTCCGACATTTGTCCGATCGATATCGCATTTCACACGCCTGTGTGAAACAATGCATTCTGTTCATAAATGCATAGTTGGCTGTGCCTTAAAAGGAAACGGACAACTCGTGACTGCACTTTTATCATCATTTATAAAACTTATTGATGCAGATACATTTTTACTGACACTGGATTTGACAATGTCACACGTCAGATGGATTGCTCGTGCAACACACAGTGGAATGAACTAAACTGCCAACAGTAAATGTATCTTTAAATACCAGTTTCATATAGTCCATGGAACGCACGTGCAGCGCACAATACCATGACATTATGTTAAAGGCGAAACTGGAACCACGTGATCAAATGGCGATGTTTCATTGGACGGGGGCTTTTTCATGTGCCTGAGAATATAATCAGTGAAACAAGTACATATGTCAAAAAGATTTATCACAATGCATTTTTAAATAATGGTGGCGTAGTTGCACACTGGAAGAGACAAGGGAATTCCAATACAGTACACTCCTACAGCAACCTTTTCTTCAGAGAACCAACGATCTCAGTTTACAAACCCTACGAGACCGGTGCCCGAACGCTCCATAACCGCATCGATTATCAATACATTCAAAGCCCTGTAGCCATTTTGAAGATTTTCTGTCATGGCGTTTTAATGGAGCAAATAAACTTTAGAAGACAGCCAGAGATGGCCCGATAATTAAAGTGTCTAATGAAATATGAGAACAATGAATTATGACATTGGTGTTGAGTGATTATACCAGGGACGTGATTGTGTGTTTGTTCAGGGTACCGCAAACGTTGTCAACTGTTTGAACACACCACGTGCTTGCATCGGGGATGTCGTTAGAAGTGAAACTTGCTGTCGCCAATCTCAAACACCACCATGGATACACTTATGAGGACCTATTAATCCAAAAGTTGAAATTCCTGTCGCTGATAACCAGGATTTTAATACAAATCGTTATTTATCTTAAAAGAATAATAAAAACATTAATATTTTGATCTGTTATTAAACTGATTAAATGTTTGACAAATTGATCAACACGTGTTTCATTTTTTAATGTGGTAATGGTCCATATCTATAATAAATCATGGAACTCAAATCTATTTCGTTTTTTTTTAAATATACACTCTTCAAAAAAAGAAACGCATAGGTGTTTTGAGAATTCCAATTAGATTTTTTTCCCAGCAATCGTCTTTAAGACAATTCTTATGTTTGATTCCCGTTAATTATGTCATGTTTGTTGTGCACTGCGCGCAAACACATCTCAAAATGTTTTTGTATACGTTTATCAGCAAAAATGCACGGAAATTGCTTTCAGAAAAAGTTTTCAGCACAATGCACGTGCAAAGTGTTGGAAACAAAAGTAGAGACACTGACTATAAAAGACCGTACAAATTTCATCAGTTCATTACGAATTTTCTGACGTGAACGGAGATCGAAAAATGCCAAGATTAACTGCAGCTGACCGAAATATCGCCATTGGACGTTTTGAAGAAGGGGAGTCCCAGTCTGCCGTTGCAAGACACTTCAACGTTCACCAAAGCACCATATCTCGACTATGGGTACGATATACCCGCACTTATTCGACTCAAGATCATCCCAGAAGTGGAAGACCAAGAGTGACCTCCCCTGCTCAGGATCGGGACATCCGGTTGCATCACCTTCGGAATCGATTTGCTAAAGCAACGGACACTGCAGAACAAGGCCATTTGCCATTTGATTCTAAAATGTATGAGGAATTCAAGGATGTATGTATCGCACCTGAGTTTGAAATACGCGTGATGTATGTAACAGGAGTCTCATAACAGCCATACATAAAACAAGATTTTGTAAACACTATCCAATATGGCAGAAGGTTCACTGCGGGGCTCGTGTTTGCATATTTTCCAAAATATTCTTAACGATTCTAGGGTTATCTGACATGTTTTGGAATCATTGGTGATTTGATAAAGACAGATACCCGTGATCACTAATATGCTATTTTTGAAATTCTTTGTTTAGCACAAATATCCGAAATGCAGATTTCAAAACATACACAAAATAACGCTCTAAATAGTGATTTAGTTATATATTAAAAATGTCGACATTTACGATGTATTTAATTTTCAGATTGTTTTTGTTCTAAATTTTATTTGCCTGAAATGAGAGTGTGTGATATCACAGATAGGGAATTTCCGACAGAAAACAAAACTGTGAGTGTATATGTGTGCATGATGTATGTTGAAGTTTATTCTACTTCGAAATGTGGGTTGCATATATGTATATGTACCGCTGGCATCCAGGGTTATACGTCACACTGAGCATTATTGCAGCTATATGGTGGCGGTCTGTAAGTAATCGAGTCTGGACCAGACAATCCAGTGATTGATGCCATTGGCCACCCGGTCCCGTTAGTCGCCTCTTACAAGTTACATAACGTTACCTTATGGTGTTTCAGGCCCGTATAAAAACGGCATGTAAGTAAAACATGATTGAATACGTTAATAGTAAGTTAGTATGATTTTAGCAATATTCCAGCCAAAGAATATGTTTATAGAATATGACGGTTAGATGGAACCTAACAGAGTTCAGGTTTTAACCTAGGACTGAACAGAAAACACTAAGCATTCTAACACGGATCTTCGATTCACGTGGAAGAACTTGTCTATTGTTGTTTTGTCTGTTGTTCAACGCGGCACTCAGCAATATTCCAATTATATGACGACGGTCTGTAAATAATCAAGTCTTGACCAGACAATCCAGGTATTGACATACACGCAATTGGTATCGTTGACATGCATCAACAAAGTCAGTGAGCCTGACCTCCCGATCCCTTTAGTCGCCTCTTTCGACAAGCATAGTCGCCTTTTACGGCACGCATGGGTTGCTGAAGACCTATTCTACCCCGGATCTTCACGGGTCTTGACTACTGTAATTCATAGGGATAAACATAGGCTACTCGAGTTAAATGCAGTATTTAATTATATTACAGCAACCAGATTTGATCCTAAATGAAGATCTAATTGTTGTTACTACATCCTGTTTGAGAGACAAGTGTCACCAGAATGTCAGTGCAGGAATCTGGGAATGCCAGTTGTCGGGGGAGTAGTATAGAGCTCGGAACATGCTGACCAGAACAACAGGCACTATGTATCTACACATATGTGTACTGGTTATTTACTTCGCTGAATTTCAGATCGTACATTCTGGTAAGTTCATATCATAATGCTTTGCACCTTTTTTTTCTTTAGACCTGACCTTTACCCACAAAGTTTGGCTTCGATTTCGCAACCGACCTTAGCGCTACGAGTGTAATACCTTAAACTGTTAAATACAAATGTGAGATATATGTTGAAACCGTATTGGCGCAAAACTCGCTCTGTGAATCAGTCTTAATTGTCGCGATTCCTCCTCACACATGTATGGTAAGCATTTCTCTGCAAATCCATCATGAGTTGTCAACTGAACTTCGGGGTACGTCTTGTGATGTACCCTGTGTGTGAGCCTATGTACCCCGAGCCGTCAGGTGTGATGTACCCAGTGTGTGTGCCTATGTACCCCGAGCCGTCAGGTGTGATGTACCCTGTGTGTGAGCCTATGTTCCCCGAGCCGTCAGGTGTGATGTACCCTGTGTGTGAGCCTATGTACCCCGAGCCGTCAGGTGTGATGTACCCTGTGTGTGAGCCTATGTACCCCGAGCCGTCTGGTGTGATGTACCCTGTGTGTGAGCCTATGTACCCCGAGCCGTCAGGTGTGATGTACCCTGTGTGTGAGCCTATGTATCCCGAGCCGTCAGGTGTGATGTACCCTGTGTGTGAGCCTATGTACCCCGAGCCGTCAGGTGTGATATTCCCTGTGTGTGAGCCTATGTACCTCGAGCCGTCAGGTGTGATGTACCCAGTGTGTGAGCCTATGTACCCCGAGCCGTCAGGTGTGATGTACCCAGTGTGGGGGCCTATGTACCCCGAGCCGTCAGGTGTGATGTACCCAGTGTGGGGGCCTATGTACCCCGAGCCGTCAGGTGTGATGTACCCTGTGTGTGAGCCTATGTACCCCGAGCCGTCAGGTGTGATGTACCCTGTGTGTGAGCCTATGTACCCCGAGCCGTAGCATCTGGTCTCTGAAATGAACATATTATTCAGAAAAAAAGCATCTGTCAAATTATCTTGATAAAATATAACATAACGGACCCAAGAGTCTTTCTTCATTTTCAGAAACTACAGTAATCTAGACTTGCCAAATATTATAGACTTGCATGGACTGTATTGGATATATTTGTTTCGGTCTGTTTGTTTCGAACCGCCGGGCTCACACACAGGTTACATCACACCTGACGGCTCGGGGAACATAGGCTCACACACAGGGTACATCACACCTGACGGCTCGGGATACAGAGGCTCACACACAGGGTACATCACACCTGACGGCTCGGGGTACATAGGCTCACACACAGGGAACATCACACCTCACGGCTCGGGGAACATAGGCTCACACACAGGGTACATCACACCTCACGGCTCGGGGAACATAGGCTCACACACAGGGTACATCACACCTGACGGCTCGGGGTACATAGGCTCACACACAGGGAACATCACACCTGACGGCTCGAGGTACATAGGCTCACACACAGGGTACATCACACCATATGCCCCGAGGGATCGGTTGACAACGAATTTATCTTTCCCACATTCAATCACACAAGCGCGGAATATGTGTCCGCAGTTTCACTGAACTCGTAGCAGACGTCGCAAACGAACCGAGTTACTTTCCTTTACCCAATGCATTCGGATAAACATCGGTACAATTCGGGCACTGATATATATAAATATACATTCGAGATAAGCAAGTTACCCAATTTGTGTTTCGACTGATTTCTCAGCAGGCAACAAGGTATTTGTTAACCGCTTGTGAGCGGGCAACGTGGAGTATAATTGGCCACTCCTTAACCAATCAGAAGCTAGTATTATGATGTAGAGTAACCTGAGCATGCCTTGGGAACAAACGTGGAGTCGACATTATCCGTCTCAACGGTAGGGTTTTAGTCACGAGACTTTATGATATCATAAAAACAAATTATGAATACATCAAAATTATGTATAAACATACATTATCACAGCAATAATCAGACACTACTGAACACGTACTGTTGCTTGCGAGGTACCAGAAAATATTTATGTGTACATCATAGATGTTTAAATAAACTTGTGGTTGGTTTGTTTGTTTGTTGTGTAACGCCGCACTCAGCAATATTCCAGCTATATGACGGCGGTCTGTTAATAATCGAGTGTCGACCAGATAATCCATTGATTGATATCATGAGCATCAATCCACGCAATTGGGATGGATGACATGCATCAACCAAGTCAGCGAGCCTGACCACCCGATCCCGTTAGTCGCCTCTTGCGACAAGCATAGTCGCCTTTTATGGCAAGCATGGGTTGCTGAAGATCTATTCTACCCCGGATCTTCTCGGGTCATAAACTTGTGGCGTTCCTTATTTGTTGAATACGTCTAGGCTACAAGTCCAGTAGACGCCTTTTTGGTCAAAGTGGATTGGGCGTCTGCCAGGAGAGCGGAAGGTCGGTGGTTCGATCGTCGGCCGCGTCATACCAAGAGACGTTAAACTATGGTACTTGTTGTTACCCAGCCTGGCGCTCGGCATTAGGTGGATGAAATAAGGACTGGTCTGCTCGGAGTCGGTGTTCTGTGTCTGACTGGGATATCCCTGTTAAACTGTGGCATGGTATCTCAGTGGGCTCGCACTACAAAACCGGCACTAGTAATGACCAGTACAGACACACACGCACGCACGCACGCACGCACGCACGCACGCACACAAACGGACACGGACACACACACGGACACACACACATGGACACGGTCACACACACACGGACACGGACATACACACACACTCACACTCACACACAGACACACACACGGACAGGGACACACACACACACACACACACACACACACACACACATAGCTATTAACATCTTCCTTTGCTGTTGCACTATGTAGGTTGTATTTTGTAAAGTATCAGTGTATCAGTCGAGGATGTAATCATAGCGAACATTTTATGTTGTAGAAAAACAACGTATATACTATATATTTGGTGTCCTATGCTGTTTATTTTAAAGAATAGACAAAAAACAAAACCCTTGTCCAAAATTTCAAATAACACTTTAACAAACATAGAAGAAAGAGACGCGCATGTTTTGAACGTGTACAAATAAGGTCATATATTCCACGTTGACCATGATGTAATAGCAGTTATCATTTCAACACAGGCCGGATCAGACGCCACGTACCAGGCAGTGATCTAACCTTGACCTTTGAGTGGGAAGACCCTCTGCGACCTCTAACGGAAGCTGATTATTATCAATCGACCGATGGCGCTGGTAAGATCCTTGTATCCATGTTGAAGTGCAATTTAAATACAACCAGTGAAGCTAGAGGCAGGTTGGGACATTCAAATATAGATATTGTCATACAGGGTATGTGAGTTAAAGATTTGAATTATACACCCCCTGCGGAGGAGAGAGCCTCGAGGGAAAACTTTGATTGCATACAAGGCAACCTTTTATGAAATGACATTTATATAATTTAAAAGGGTTTTGTTAAGAGCAAAGGTCAGTTTATACGTTAGATAAAACAATACACCCCAGGTTTTTTTTGCATCCCACATCAACGCGTACGAGGTAAGTGAGTGAGTTGGGCTTAACGCCACTTTGAACAGTATTCCAGTTACATCACGGCGTGTCAGCTTAATGTGTTAAAGAAGCCAGAAATTATACATGTCTCAAACGTTTACCACTTTGGCAAAACCCACGAGCTCGGGTGTGGTGCTGACAAACCAAGAAACATAATCGGGGCGAACAAGGATTCGAACCCACAATCATAGATTTCTCGCGTGCACAGCAAACTGCAGCGCCTCAGACGACTGGGCCTCCCGTCCCCTAATAGAGGGATATGTGCAGTATGATATATGCAGATTGTGTGTAAGAGAAAATGTGTCTAAACTTGGTAGCTGGTTGTTTATTCCATAAACACAAAACATAAACATCTATTTCTGTACAGGTGGACAAATACATCCCTGTCACGACCATGCTGATAAAAACCTAATTCGGATAAGAAGGAGTTTGGTTTAGTAAATTGTGATTTCGTTGAAGATGTGTTTTCAAATTAGATATTGTTTTTAGTTCGTTTACGTATAGTTTAAATGCTTCCAAATCTACATCTGTAAGCGCGTAAAGCACCCCCTAAGATAATGAATTATGATATGTCACCATTAATGTTAACTGCAGTGACTATGATGCGATGATTATTACAAGAGTGTTGTTCCATCGTAAATATGTGGCCGATTTCAAAGCCATTGGGCTTCAAGTGGGATACCACTACACAGTACTCAGTCGATTGGTGAGGAAACTTGGTCAAATCAATGCTGTAAAGGACCTTCTATGGCCTCCTGTGACGCCAGCGTGAAAACAGTGCACTACCTCGATTACTACAACGGCCATTTGCAACGAGTCCCGTCTTGGGTGATGAATGAGTATGGTTTTACGCCGTTTTTAGCAATATTCCGTCAATATCACGGAGGAAACCAGAAATCGGCTTCAGCGAACCCGGGTCTTTGGCGTGACGAGCAAACGCTTTAAACACTAGGATACCCCACCGCCCAACTCCCGTCCTAAAGCGACAATGGCTTACAAGTCGACGTCTGTCCATCTGTCCATCAGCGCGAGAGCAGCAGTAACGGCGTCGAAGAGAGTCATCAAGCGCCCCTTACATGCAGACCACCACCAGAGGTTCCGTTTGACACGGTATTTAGCACGACGGGCTTTCAATCGGACCACCTGGCGGAACATCCATTGTTCGGAGGAAAACCGGTTCCTGCTTCACGTCACGTTGGACGACTGAGAGTTTGGAGGCCCAGGAATGCGATCTGTCCTATAACCGAGGAACATCAGGAAATGACTGTCCCATAAGGGGGTAGGGGCTTGGTAATGATTTGGATGTGTTGGATTATAGTCAGTTAACGCCCTTGCCTCTGGAAGATGTCACGAATCCAGAGAAGGGTGTGTACCTCTACCCCCGCCCCAGCTCCCCTCCCTTCATCAACCCATCCCGTTTGGAACAATATATAATACACTGGGAAAAAGTTACGCACCCCCAGCATTTTTTCAATGAAATGAAAAAAGAAGTGCTCAAATGAAATTACTGACACCATCAGCTAGGATAAACGATGTGATCTGTACGAACTAGACTGACATTAAGTCCAAGAAATAAAGTTAATTAAAAATATATATCTTCAAAAGTATCCTCATGAAGCCAAGATCAATCCTTAGAGATGAGGCAATCATATAGACTTGAGTTGGACTCCTTCTTAATGTTGTTGGGTCTTGGATCTTGGAGATCGACTATGTAAGACAAGTCCATGACTATACGAAACCACCACCATTTACAGCTGAGGTTAGATTTTAATCACTGTGTTGTAGCACAACCGCCCTTGATGTTTTCTCCCTTTTAAGTGTGGAGATGCAGTCGTACGATGAACTCAGGTGGCGATTTCTGGATGTCAATGTCACTTTGAGAACCTAGATAACACCCGTAGGTTCAGTTGCTCGTGAACCCTCCACATGCCGGAAGATGGCATCCAGGCTGCGTCTCATCCCTCCAGTCAGACGTCGGATCCGATCAATGGGCAACCGAAGCCCTTCAAGATGCAAAGCTGCCTCAGATTCTGTACTAGAGGCTCCGGGGGCACGGGTGGCCCAGTCGTCTAAGGCGCCGCGATTCGCTGTGCAGAGTTGCGTCCCTTGGGCACGCCAGAAACCAATGATTGTGGGTTCGAATCCCGGTTCGCCCCAATTATGCTTTTAGGTTTGTCAGCACCATAACCGTGCTCGTGGGTTTCACCAAAGTGGTAAACGTCTGAAACCTGCATCACTTCGGTCTTTCCTCCCACATTAAGCTGACACGCCGCGATATGACTGGAATACTGTTAAGAGGGGCGTTAAACCCAACTCACTCACTCACTCACTCACTACTAGAGGCTCCAGTGCCTGTAACGAAGCCCAATGATGTCCCACATGTGCTCCATCAGATGCTATGCCCTGGAATCATGGGATCAGTGCCCCGTTCAAGAAAAGCCATCTTAATTAGCGCTAAGGTGATCGTAACTCCCATACTTGAACACTGGCTTACGATAGTGCTAAGACCGCTTTGTGGGACGATGCCCTGGCCTCATCATCTAAACACTGTGGTATTGTTGCGAGTGGGTGGTTGTCGAAATGGGGGACAACAACTGGCTCAAGGACATGTCGAATGTACTGATTACCTGCGAGGATGCCTTCTATGGTAACCACGCCTAGATACACATCCAAATGATTTGGAAAGCATGTGTACCGTCCATTGGGCGTCGACAGATATGTTCCAAACCTTTTTATGTTTTTAATCAGGGTGCTCAAGTGATTTGATGCACTTCGAAGGGTTGACCCGTTTTATAACCATATAGATTTTGGTTATCGATCAGATCGTTTGACTGAGCGCCGCCATTTTGTTTAAAGCAAATGCAAGTGATAAGAGAGATGGAATCTGATTGGTCAATAAGAAGCACATATGGAAGGGACATTACTCGTAATAGCCACAGGTGGCGCTGCGGTCGAGCCTGGAAATTCCAGCCTGGCTCGGCAGGGGTGGAAACTGGACTTTTATAGCCAGTTAACTCCCTTGCCTCGGGTCAGAACCGAAATCAGAGCACTGAACACAGATGACCGAAATCAGTACACTAAACAATGTAATTCTGGAATTCAGCCTAGTTTTGCGAGGGTGGAAAATGGACTTTTATAGTCAGTAAACGCCCTTTCCCCGGGAAGATGAATTCGTGAATGTTACTATACTGATTTTTTAGTGAAACCTTTTTCTTGTAACATGGCCTAAAATTAATATGGACGGAATTGGACAGAATCTAAAATATGTTTCACACAGTTTAGTGTTAGTTAATAATATGCTGAATCCATTCAGTGAGACCCGTGAAGATTCCGGGGTAGAATGCTCGATGCTCATGATATCAATCACTGGATTGTCTGGTCCAGACTCGATTATTTACAGACCGCCGTCATATAGCTGGAATATTGCTGAGTGCGGCGTTAAATAACAAACCAACCAACCATTCAGCGAAGGTGTATTTTGTCATTTGGAACTTATAAAAGTCAGTCTTTAAAATATATTTACTAAAGTGCGACTCTTTGCCGTCTGTTGGCGTGTGGCGTCTGTTGTAAATCCGAGTAAAACATTTGATTTGAATGAGATGTCGATTGCCAACATCTGATGCCCTTGCCTCAGTGGTAAGGTATTGGTTAGTGAGTGAGTGAGTATGGTTTTACGCCGCTTTTAGCAATATTCCAGCAATATCACGGCGGGGGACACTAGAAATGGGCTTCGGCGTGACGAGCAAATGCTTTAACCACTAGGCTACTCGTCCGCCCGGTATTGGTTAGTGCATTTGTTCTGTATGATACAGAATTTCTTCATGACACTAAAGCTTTAATTTACGTTGAACTGTTTTTTCGTCAGCCTTTAATCCCATGAGCGCACTGGTAGGGCGGCCAGGTCATTCCACTTCCAACAACACGTGCAACAACATCCGGGTAGTTCCTGTGCAGCTGAGGAGCGCAAGCAGTATCGGGCCGAGTGGATTGTCGTATTTCTACCAGAAGTATACAGAGGCGTATGGGATACCCGTGCTTGGTAATATGATGTGTACTGGAAAATCTAATTACCCCAGAACCCCGCTGGAACCAGGCTAACAATAGATCCCTTTATTGCTTGTCTTAACAGGCGACTAAATTGGATCGGGTGGTCAGAGTGAAACGTTGCTAATAATATCAACCACTGGTTCGTCTGTCTCAGTTTTGATTATTTACAATAACAACGTAGATCGACGCTCATGATGTTTATTATAAGTTTATTTATACATCCAGACTTGATTATTTACAGACCGCCGTCATATATGTGGAATAGTGCGGCGTGAAACACAAACCAACCAAACTAACAAACAGTTTCTGGTGCTGTTATGCTACGTGTCTTTAGTACTTGCTTTGACGACTCTTATTTTACAAATTCATACCAAGATTTCAAACAAGATAGCTTTATTCTCCATCGATCATGCAAATAAATTTCAATGATTAAAAAAAAAAAGAGTTGATGGGAATTGGGCCGCTCTGTGAATGAAAACAACACATTTCCTTCATTTCGTTTTTATATATCCCGTACAGATTTTATGTTTTATGTGAACAATTCTTTTAGTGATATTGTTTCCTATTTCTACAATCAGTGTTTATGGTTTTGAAAAAAGATTAACATAAAGGTTAAGGGTTCAGAGAAATACCCGTCTGTATCGCAGCTTCACGTAAAGTCCCCGACGACGCTCTCCGCCGCGCCTGTTACGTCCTTCGCTTCCTCCTCGCCGACCACAGCGGTGTGCGACAGTCCTACTACCGACTGTCGGGGAGGGTGGCAGTGATCGGGGCTCGGGAAGGGACAGTGTCTATTCCAGAACACGCTTGGCTGGGTCCCGCCTGGAACGACCGAGCACGTGGACTTGGGGCAACGGAACATGCACCAGTATCAACGGGAGGCGAAGAGAACATCCTGTGTTACAATATTGACAGGTATACTACTACTGCTACTGCTACTGCTACTGCTTCTGCTACTGCTACTACTACTACTACTACTACTACTACTACTACTACTACTGACCCGTGAAAATCCGGATTAGAATAGGTCTTCATCATCCCATGCTTGCCGTAAAAGGCGACTAACGGGATCGATCCCAATTGCGTGGACCGATGTTCATGATGTCAGTCACTGGATTGTCTGGTCCAGGCTCGATTATTTACAGACCGCCGTCATATAGCTGGAATATTGCTGAGTGCGGCGTAGAACAACACACCAACAACCAACTACTACTAGTTAAAAAATAGCAAACACAATTCGCACAAATTGCAAGTATTATAACGGCTCTTCAGCGATGGTTCACATTTTCACCAAAGGCGACGAGACGTCGCTACCTCTCAAATCAATGATAGCGACATTTCGAGCAATGTTCATTCCAGAAAATGAAGTACAGTATTATAATATGTTGTCAGCCCAACAGTATGTCAAAACATGAATACAAACAACAAGAGTGGGTAGGGTGGCCTAGCCGTCTAAGGCGCCGCGATTCGCTGTGCAGAGTTGCGTCCCTTGGGCACGCCAGAAACCTATGATTGTGGGTTCGAATCCCGGTTCGCCCCGATTATGTTTCTAGGTTTGTCAGCACCATACCCGTGCTCGTGGGTTTCACCGAAGTGGTAAACGTCTGAGACCTGCATCACTTCGGGCGTTCCTCCCACATTAAGCTGACACGCCGTGCTATGACTGGAATACTGTTAAAAGCGGCGTAAAACCCAACTCACTCACTCCCTCTTTTCCCCCTATCATTTGTCTTGATGACAGACCAATTTCACGAAAAACGTTTGTCGCCTGCGGGATTGGAACCCACGAAGTCCGCACTGAAGGGACATGCATTTCATAACCCATATCGACAAAGTGCGAGGTGCACGTGCGAAAGGCTCGCACACATTTGGGGTTGGCTGATGATCCTCTTGTGAATCATGTCAAAACTCAAGATGAAAACAAGGCATTATACAGTTTTCGTAAACGAGCCAAGGATATAGGACATAATCTCAATGTCAGTGTTGATTATGTTGATGGATCTGTACTGCTGGACGGTACAGAGATGAGTGCCACATCAATCGACCGAGACTCAAGGAGAGGCTATCTGAACGACCATTGCATTGAGTTTATGTGCGGTGGTTTGAGATGATCAGCAAACCTGCAGAGTCCTTCGTCTGTGCTTGTGGTTTGGACACAGAGGTCTATCCATGGTACGACCCAGAATATGAGGGTCACGGAGAATGATAAATATACAATTCTTTGGAATAGGCCCGTGTACAGCCTCAGACGTATCCATGCCAACAATCCTGATCTTGTCCTTTTTGATAAATTCAATGGACTCATTTATATCATTGAATTTTCTGTCCCTTTTGACACTAATGTGATTGACAAGATTGAGGAAAAACATGGCAAATATGCAGACCTCGCTTTCGAGGCGGGTTTGTCTAGGCAGCGCTTCCTGGGAGAAGTACCATTCGCTGTCTGGGCTGCGTGTAGAGGGGGTAAGACCCCTGGGCTGATGATGAGCCTAACCAGCCTGACTGTGCCAGGATCAACCAAGCTCTCTTTGCTGCATTTTTTATTTTTAATCTGTACATAATAATGATGATGATGATGATGATGATGATAAAAATCCAATTGTATCGCGCCCGTTATCAATACATCAGGAGTTTAGATTTTGTTTGTTATCATATAGGTATTGATCGGACAAATCGAAATTTGACTAAGATTGAACAAAAATATCTGTTTACAAAACAAACACTAAGAAAATCTGTCTGGGGGCGCGTTACATCAAGAAACTAAGCTGGTACCTCTGCTGCTGCCTTGAAGAAATATTTAAAAAAAATCGGCTACCGATTGTACTGTTTTAGATCACTTTGAACAAAATGATTCTGTTGAGAATTACGATATTGAACAAGAAGCAAATAAATCCAAGAATTAGAATACTATCTCCAGAGTATGTCAAAGACTCAAGTATTGCCTGTACATAAAACACCAACAGGTATCGGTTCGAGGACATCTTCCTGCACGAGTTCGCCCATGGCATCCATCTGCTGGGCGCCAAGTACGCCATCCCAGGTTGGCAGAGTCGCCTACAGTCGCTCTACTACCAGGCCAGATCAGCCGGTAGATGGCGCAACACATACGCCATGAGTACTGTGGAGGAATACTTTGTAAGTAGAAACGTTACAGTGTGTGTGTGTGTGTGTGTGTGTGTGTGTGTGTGTGTGTGTGTGTGTGTGTGTGTGTGTGTGTGTGTGTGTGTGTGTGTGTGTGTGTGTTTCTGCATGCACTGTACTGAAATATCACGTCGGCTTGTTAAAAATCCCTATATTCATGTCAGTCAGCTCTCACTAGCATGGGTTGTCAAGCAGTAGCAGCAGCTAAACTAATCTCAACCAATCATCGAGCGTGTGGTCCTCGTATCATCTTTATGGCAACATAGTCATTGTGAATCACTGCACACACTGCGACCATGTCACACCATTTCGTGAGAATAAATTCTCATAATGTGGCAAATCTGATTGGATGCTGTGGGAATTGAAATGTGAAGAGGGAGTTGTGTGTGACTAGGACAGGACTGTACATGTGACTGTGACTGTGATATGATTGTGACTCTGCTGTCTTGACACATATAAAACCGAGCAATTTAGGATCAATGGAGGCTTTCAAGTGACGGTATATTATACTGCGGTGTTAATTTGATAGTCTGTCATAAAGAATGATTTTCAGTCATCCATTCACATACTTTTTCACCACTATCATGCCTATTGCTTCCCATGGAATCTGTTTAGGCAGATAATCGAGACTGGCTATTCTCTGGCATTGACGTTTTATGTTCACACGTGACTAGACAATTTGTCACCCCCTCTCTTCAGGCGGAAGGGACACAAAGCTACTTCAACGTCAACGCTTACTCCGCCGTCCCTAACGGCGTCCACAACCACGTGAACACCCGCGACAAACTACAGCAGTACGACCCCCAGCTCTTCGATCTCATACAGGAGGTATTCCCGTGCGGGAACACGTACCTCCGGAGGTGTATGGCAACCAGAAGTAAGCCACTTGTCATATCTATTGTCCGTTTGCTTCACGGGGGCGCGACTGGTCTAGTTGTCTGTCACGTTTTCATCAAGACCTGAATCGATTTTCCAACATCAATAAATTATCGCGTCTAGGCCAGGCAAACCAGAGATTGAAATAATGAGCAACATTCTCAGTCATCTGTCAAACTGCCAAGTCTCAGGACCTGGATACAATACTAGATTATTCCAAGGCGCATCAAGTAAATATATTCTCAGCTGTGTGCAGTGTGCTATGATGTATATGCAGCTAATGTTGCAGGTGCTGAGAGAAGCCAGCAACTGAGGATGAACTGTAACCCTGGGGGCGGCGGTACAGGAACTGGAACTGGAACTGGAACTGGAACCGGAACCGGAACTGGAACTGGGACCGGAACCGGAACTGGAACTGGAACCGGAACTGGTTCAGGTACAGACACTCTCGAATTTTACAATTCAGGAGCAATTATCAAGCTACAAGAACTTTCCACAAATGATATGACCTGAGTACAATACCGGTTGCTTCCGTTTCAGGCACGTGTCAGGACAACAACTCCAACTGCAGGGCGTGGGCGTCTCAAGGGGAGTGTGGCTCCAACTCTGCCTACATGCACGTCTCCTGTAGACGAAGTTGCAACAGGTGCGGACGAGGGGGAGGCGGAACCGGAACCGGAACTGGAACTGGAACCGGAACCGGAACCGGAACTGGTTCAGGTACAGACACTCTCGGATTTTACAATTCAAGAGCAACTATCAATCTACAAGAAATTTACACAAATGATATGTCCTGCCGCAAATACCAGTTGTCTCCGTTTCAGGCACGTGTCAGGACAGCAACTCCAACTGCAGGTCGTGGGCGTCTCAAGGGGAGTGTAACTCCAACCCTGCCTTCATGATCGTGTACTGTCGACAAAGTTGCAACAGATGTGGAGGTTCGACATTAAGCTTTCTTTTCTAATAATATTTCGCAGTTTAGCCAGGCGTCAACATCGCCTGGCAGAGTTGCGTCCCTAAGACGTACCAGAATACTATGGTCATTCATACAAAATCTACTTTAATCCTGATACAAAACTCGTCCTTCTTCTTTCATCCTTGATCAATCACGCACTGTTAGAAAGTTTAATTTTGAATGTAAAATGAGGAGAAAACACAGTATTTTCATACATTTAGTGTATTTATCTCATCGTAATCATATAACTCACTCACAGACTTACGTGAATTTTCACACCGAAGAGTTTCAATCAATACCGGAAATTGACGATTTCCTAATACCACGTGTCATTAATGCCACCTAAGTGTCATCTTGGGTGTGAAAATAATTCTAGTGGAACAAATTGCAGTTGTCACGAAAAGAGAATACATTTCGTGTTTCGTAATTTAAAGGAGATCTATTCTGTTTTGATCTGTTTTGTTTGTTTGTTTGTTGTTGTTTAACGCCGCACTCAGCAATGTGCCAGCTATATGACGGCGGTCTGTAAATAATCGAGTCTGGACCAGACAATCCAGTGATTGGCATCATGAGCATCGATCCACGCAATTGGGATACGATGACATGCATCAACCAAGTCAGCGAGCCTGACCACCCGGTCCCGTTAGTCGCCTCTTACGGCTTAATTCGGGATAATTTTGTTGTTTGACAAAAAACTGTTTAGGTTAGACAAGTGTGAATTTGGTGAATATTTTGAGAGAAATGATAACGTGACGGGTATTTTAGTGTGATATTGTCAGTGAGAAATTACAATGTGACCGGTATTTTAGTGTGATATTGTCAGTGAGAAATTATAATGTGACAGGTATTTTAGTGTGATATTGTCAGTGAGAAATTATAACGTGACAGGTATTTTAGTGTGATATTGGCAGTGAGAAATTATAACGTGACAGGTATTTTAGTGTGATATTGTCAGTGAGAAATAATAACGTGACAGGTATTTAAGTGTGATATTGTCAGTGAGAAATTATAACGTATTTTAGTGTAATATTGTCAGTGAGAAATTATAACGTGACACGTATTTTAGTGTGATATTTATTGTCAGTTTTAGTTGTTAAATGTTGTTGAATAAATGTATTTCATTCTTCGGTTGTGTCTCTCTATAACATTTGGTAGTCTATGTTATAATGATGAATGGTTTTTTAACATGACGAGTAGAGTCACTGCGCATGTTGTAAGCTATAAATACCCCGCTACTGACTACACCTGTCATATTTTACAGAAGAATAACTCTCACGAAATACTTTTTTTATTGCTAAACGTCCATTTTATTTAGTAATGTCAATACAGCGTTTAACAGTAGACTATTCTTGTCGTAAAAGGCGACTAACGGGATCGGGTGGCCAGGCTCACTGACTTGGTTGATGCATGTCATCGATCCCAATTGCGTGGATCGTTGCTCATGATATCAATCACTGGGTTGTCTGGTCCAGATTCGATTAATTACAGACCGCCGCCATATGGCTTGAATATTGCTGAGTGTGGCGTTAAAACCAGTAGATATGTGTTCCCTAGTCTTTCTGTGTTGACATCAGACTTCCTCGCTGTTGTCAAGATTATTTTGACTAACCACAGGCTCATAACGATATGGACTAATATGTGTAAGGTCACTGATCTAAATTTCAACCTTTTCAACAATGGCATTGCCAGGTGATGTCATGGCGAACGCTAGTAATCTACCAAGCACTATTCAGAAATAGTGATCGTCTGCGAGTCATCTCTCCACTATTATGTCACGTCACGTGGTGACAACGTCGCTCATTTACTCTCGGTAATTTCCGGAATAAGAGTAGGTTTTAACGGTTTTTGTCACAAATATTTCCCTTGAAATTTTTTCCTTCCAGATACTTGTTTTAATATGCTTTATAAATGATTTATTCTCATATTTATAGTTTACTGTAAATCTGCTTTAAGGTGTGTCTTGTGTGGATTCCAACCCCAACTGTAGCAGCTGGTCAAGTACGGGGGAGTGTGGACGGAACCCCGGCTACATGTTGACCTCGTGTAGACGCAGCTGCGGCCAGTGCTGATCGTGTCCACGAATAAACCAAACAATATGCAGTTTAGTTGTCATTTTATGACATTACATTTGTCATTTGAACCTCGTTGAAATGAGGTCTAAGCGTTCGCTTCTGCTAAACAAAGGTCTGAGGATATCCCATTACGGGTCACGTCAGAACGACCTTTCATGCGACCATCAGAGCGTCGTTTACCAGATCGAGAAAGTAACCTCGAAAAGGTTAACACGGGGTATTCCGAACGACATTTATGGGCTGTACAACCGATACTGTCAAAATCGTCAATGGGATAAAAAAAAAATACATAGCCCGTGTAAAAAACTACCACACAATCTCGGCCACCTATTAGACAATTCAGCATTTTCTTTTGTTCAGTTTTCAAGTTTTGAATCGATATTTTCTTTCAGATAAGAGCCTTAAATGGAAGTCCCCAGTTTCATAAAAGTCGAGAAAGCTGCTTTCTGACTGACTTCATGTTATTGATATCATTGGTCGATCAAAGTTCGCGAAAGGTCGTTCTGACGTGAGCTGTAATGGGATGTCCTCATTCGTGACCAACTCGTGTTATTCGTGTGACAAGCCGAATCTTTTTTCAGGTTACGGAAAGAGGCGAGTGGTGACGAATGTGAATGTCCTCACTCAGATCTTTGTGTACCGGAAGCGAGCACAAAGATCAGATGTCTATTTATAGTGTATATTTTGATACAGTTTACAAACTTTGACACAGAGTGTTTCATTAAAAGGAAAAAAATGGTGGAATTATTTACAAAATGGTTACAATCCAATTTGAATGTGTTATATGTGATATACTGTATACACAGCATCGAGCAGAAAAAAAACTTGCAACAACTATATTTTGTGTTTGACTCGATCCTGCACATTTTCCACTGAATACACTAAAACACGATGTTGTATAATGCGATGTAATATCCCTTGTTGCGAACTCATGTCACGTGACCCCAATCGCTAGCAGACGACACGGAATGATGTTGACATTCACCGGAGAGTTAAAATGTGATCACAAGATATTAAGAAGGGTACAAGAGCAAGTTGGGTGCTAGTAAGTGCCTACATACCAACACGTTGTCACCCCAAAGCATGGGGATGGATATTGTCGTTTGGCGAAGGAGAATAGGGTGTTTTTGTCCGAGAAGAAGACACTGGAAGTCAACCCCGGTATACAGTTACGAAGAGGCATACGGCTGGTTCTGAGACTCACTCTATTATCCCTGTCACCCTTATTGACAGCTGGAGACGTTGAATCCAATCCAGGACCACCCAAAGTACCACCTTCTTCAGAAAGAGTACAGACTAGAATATCTGCACAAAATGTTTCTGGCCAATGTTAGACCCCTGACACTTCAAACAGCCAATCGACCCGTGAAGATTCCGGGGTAGAATAGGTCTTCAGCAACCCATGCTTGCCGTAAAAGGTGACTAAATAATCGAGTCTGGACCAGACAAACCAGTGATTGATATCATGAGCATCGATCCACGGAATTGGGATCGATGACATGCACCAAGCAAGTCAGCGAGCCTGACCACCCGATCCCGTTAGTCGCCTTTTACGACAAGCACAGTCACCTTTTACGGAAAGCATGGGTTGCTGAAGATCTATTCTAACCCGGAATCTTCACGGGTCGATGACAAGATGGACCGAATCACACAGGACTATGATGACAAGTTTGAAACAGAAATTTGATGCCCTGGAATCCAGAAATGACAGTATTAAGGCACGGTCATGAATATCAAATTTAATCTTTCATGCTTTGCAAGATAAGAGGCGTGAAACTAAGAAAGAGCGTGAGGCGTGTGTCAAAGATTTTATGGACGTTACCCTTAACATCGAAGTTCAATCCATCCGCAAAGAAAGAGCACTTCGCCTGCACTGGAAGTAGACTGATAATTGTCAAGTTCTCATTCTACAGGGACAAAGCAGCTGTGATGGAACCTGCCAGAAAGTACCTGAAGGGGAATGCAGAGTACAGGGTTTCTGAAGACTACACCAAGAGAGTGCGGGAGGTTCGGTCAGAGTTGTTTCCCTTGACGATGAGAGCCAGACAAGGGAACAAAGTTGCCTATTTGAGCTACGATAAACTGGTTCAGTTTTTGTTCTGGGAGATGACGACACACAAATCAGACAAGTGGGACAGCGTAGGAACTGGACATCAGTTACGAAATCGCAGACACAATCATCACCCAATCCCACTGAGACATCATCGACGGGGTCATCATCAACAACGTATACATCAGCACTCATGTACATAACACTGATTCTACACTAAACATATTGAATGGATGTTCCTGGAACATCCAAAGACGTTGGTGCCGCATCAAGTACACTCATACTCCCGCACCAAGTACACTCATACTACCGCACCAAGTACACTCATACTCTCGCATCAACCTCACTCATACTCACGCACTGAGTACACGCATACTCCCGCACCAAGTACACTCATACTACCGCACCAAGTACACCCATACACCCGCACCAAGTACATCCATACACCAGCACCAAGTACACTCATACTCCCGCAGCAAGTACACCCATACACCAGCACCAAGTACACCCATACACCAGCACCAAGTACACTCATACTACCGCACCAAGTACACCCATACTCCAGCACCAAGTACACCCATACACCCGCACCAAGTACATCCATACACCAGCACCAAGTACACCCATACTCCCGCACCAAGTACACCCATACACCCGCAGCAAGTACACTCATACTCCCGCAACAAGTACAACCATACTCCCACAGCAAGTACACCCATACTCCCGCAGCAAGTACACCCAAACACCCACACAAAGTACACCCATACACCCGCACCAAGTACACTCATACACCCGCACCAAGTACAACCATACACCCGCAGCAAGTACACCCATACTCCCGCAACAAGTACACCCATACAC